AACATTAGGAGGTTCGTCACCTGCATACATCCCACTAGTTTATTTCAAAATTGGCGAGTCACACTTCCCTAGTTTCCCTTGTAAGACAAGAATCAAAAATTAAAGCATAAACTTTGCAACCACTAGAAAAAAATTTCTCTTCAAAGCGGAGCAACTTGGTATCTCCGAGTGCTGGTCGCAAAATCGATGCAAGATTGTTTGTTTAAATTTGGTTTAGCTTCTACAATTTATAAATAATTCAAACAGGCATTTTCTTTCAATTAACTCGATGTTTTAAAATGTTTGCGAATTTAAACAAAATTCTTCTTTATCATTTTGAGCTTTCTTTCTAAAAGTATAAAAACTACATAGAAAATTGCTTGAAACTTTCAAGAATTGCCTGAATTTTCAAGAATTGCTTAAATTTTTAAGATATTCAAATCGGAATTTTTTCGGATTCACTACAAAATTAAGAAAAAAAATTATTTTTCCAGAGCATGAGCAGTGTTAAAGAATTATTTATTTATTGTGCAGTTTTCAATCAAGTTTTTATTTTCTACCATTTATAAAATATTGCCTGCTGTTAAAAAAATAAAAAATATTTTTTAAAAAAATGTTTAACACAAGGGTAGAACACCGGACAAAAATATTCAAGAGTTAAGATTTAATTTATAGACCACAGTAAAGGCAATAAAATAATTAATAGATAGAATGGAAATTATATAAGTTATATGCTTGCTGTTAAATTTTGATAAAATGTAATTAAACAAACAAAAAATTGTTTTAATTTTGTATTCCAGCTATATGAATTTTAATGCACTTATATAGATAGGGGAGCAGCAACCCCAAGAATCCAATCGACGACAAAGACGAGTAAATATTAAAATTTATATAACAAGTATAATTTTAATTATAAAATTATTTTTATTCCTAAATATTGGGCTTCAAAATACTTGCAGAGTGAAATATGATTTTCAAACAAAGTTAATAGGAAAGTTTTATGTAATTAAAATTTAATTATTTTTTTACACTTAAAAAAAAATTGAGAACATTTTGTTGGAAATGTCATGAATTTTTTACTACAGAATAATTTTTGCATATATTTACATAAAAAATAAACTTTTTTATGAATATATTTCACTCTAATAGTTTTTCCTTTATTTTTTTTTTATTTATTTATTTTTTTTTCTTTGCCTTATGCAGTTACAAGTTTATTACACACCTCTTTTAACCTTTTCGGGAGTCATAAATGTGGTTGTATGGAATCAAGATAATAAAAAATAAAAAGTGGTAGCTTAAGTTTGGGCATAGCTAATTTGACAGAATTATTTTTGCTTTCACTTTAAATCTAACACATCCAATCCTAGTGTGTCAAAAGTGTAACTATACAATTTTCAATTCGAACTAAGTAGTGGTAAATTAAATAAAGCAAACTATTATAACCCCACTCACAAATAAACTGCTATAAAAATAGTTTGGCTACCAGTTTTATCTTTTTTACCCTGATTATCGACACCCTGAGAATGCATATAAGACTCCCCCTTCTCGAAGAGGTTAAGGGATATCTAATGAAGAGTTTGTGAAATTCATCCACACGTCTGTGCAAGCCACTGGCATATTGTACTGTACCTTTTTGAGTTTCAGTTTATTTTTTTAGGAAAATATTCTCGTAACTGTAAAATTAAACATAAATAAAAACAACATTTGAATTTTTCTGAGTAGTATTTAGCCTTTGAAATTTATATAATCAAAAAATAGTTTTTTTTTTAAATAATTACATATAACAGTGAAAATAACTTTTATAATGATCTTCGACGCCATTCAAAATAATTAAAACATCTTACTATTCAGAACTCTATTAATAAAAACAACAACTTTGATTTATTATAATAAAAAGCTAATTAAATAAACAGTGCTGGTAATGTGGTTCTAAAAAAAGCTATCTTCTAATAACTTCTAAAAAATTTCTTTCAACACAATGCTTATAATTTAGTTTCAATATTTAAAAGAAGCATAAAAGTGTTCAAAATAAATGTCCTTTGTTGTAAGTGTCAGTAATATGAAGATTATAATAACAAGTTAAAACTAATACATAATCAAAATAGCGATAAATATTATGAATTTAGAAATAATTTGAATTCAGGATAACTATACAACATAACTATAATTAACATAACTATAACATAACTATAACTATAACATAACTATAACATAACTATAACTATAACATAACTATAACATAACTATAGCATATCTATAACATAACTATAACATAACTATAACATAACTATAACATAACTATAACATAACTATAACTATAATTAACTAAAAACTATCAAGACGGTTTTTCAATCTGCTTCCTATTGGGTACTAATTAAAAACAATGATAAATTTTCTTTTAAAATAGTAACGAAAACAGTATCCAAAGGAAGAAATTATATAGAAATTTAGTGTTTGCTCATAATGTCACATCAGTAAAACTGTACTGAAACTTAACCATGACCTCTGAAAATTAACAAGATCTCAAGAAAAAATACACAAAATACAAGCTGATTATCAGAATTTATTTAGAAACAGATGTGTATAAAAACATAAAAATTTAAAAACAGATATTTAGTTGTATAGTATGGACTGAATAATTTCTGCTAATGTAGATTTATTATTCAAAAAAAAAAAAAAAAAAAAAAAAAAAAAAAAAAAAAAAAACAATGTAAATGACTAGATAATGAACATGTGACTAAAGAATTCAAATTCATGACAATCATTTACACCTCAAAATAAATACAATAACATAATCTAACAATGCTGATTTTTGATGCCCAAAAGTACCAAAACATTATCGTGTTGTAGTATTAAACTGAGAGAAAAAGTCTTTGGATATTGTATTTTTGAATGCCACCTTATTCATGTAATCATTATGAAATTTTTGTTCTCTTGAAAGCTCATGATTTATAGACTGCAAGTTCTCATTCATGAGGTGTTTTATTCTTTTCTCCTCCTCTTTCAAGCGTAATGCTTCTTTCTCAAGATTCATAAGTTGTTGATCCCACACAGCATTTTCCAGTTCACCTGCTTCTCTCCTCCTCTGTAAATAACACCATAACAGCACACTCATTTAATGTAAATTTAGAAACATATTCCAATCTTAAATGGACGCTATATGGCAGGAGGCAGTATAGCGCCCATTTAATGTCCATGACACCATTTAGCGTCCATGACAAACGTAAATTCAAAATAAATACAGCTAAGTAATTTAATGTATAGAAAAAGCGAGTTCAGGTTAACTTGGAGTAAACCATGAAGTTTCAAATGCTCAAAAAAAATTAAAACATAAAAATGCTAACATATTATGGAAGAATTAGCAAAGCGATTTAAAGTATAGGAAAAGCGAGTTCAGGTAAACTTGGAGTAAACCATAAAGTTTCAAATGCTCAAAAAAAAAATTAAAATATAAAAATGCTAACATATTATGGGAGAATTATTTAAGAGATTTAAAGTATAGGAAAAGCGAGTTCAATAAAACTTGGAATAAACCATGAAGTTTCGAATGCTCAAAAAAAAATTAAAATATAAAAATGCTAACATATTATGGGAGAATTATTTAAGTGATTTAAAGTATAGGAAAAGCGAGTTCAGGTATACTTGGAGTTAATCATAAAGTTTCAAATGCTGAAAAAAAAATTAAAACATAAAAATGCTAACATATTATGGAAGAATTACCTAAGTGATTTAAAGTATAGGAAAAGCGAGTTCAATAAAACTTGGAGTAAACCATGAAGTTTCGAATGCTCAAAAAAAAATTTTTTTAAACATAAAAATGCTAACTTATTACGGAAGAATTACCTAAGTGATTTAAAGTATAAGAAAAGCAAGTTCAGGTAAACTTGGAATAAACCATGAAGTTTCGAATGCTCAAAAAAAATTTAAAATATAAAAATGCTAACATATTATGGGAGAATTATTTAAGTGATTTAAAGTATAGGAAAAACGAGTTCAATAAAACTTGGAGTAAACCATGAAGTTTCGAATGCTCAAAAAAAAAAATTTAAAACATAAAAATGCTAACATATTATGGAAGAATTACCTAAATGATTTAAAGTATAGGAAAAGCGAGTTCAGGTAAACTTGGAGTAAACCATGAAGTTTCAAATGCTCAAAAAAAAAATTAAAACATAAAAATGCTAACATATTATGGAAGAATTACCTAAGTGATTTAAAGTATAGGAAAAGCGAGTTCAGGTAAACTTGGAGTAAACCATGAAGTTTCAAATGCTCAAAAAAAATATTAAAACATAAAAATGCAAACAAATTATGGCAGAATTACTCAGGATTACACCGTATGGAAATTATTCTCCCATAATTAGTTTGCATTTTGATGTTTTGAAAATATTTTTCAGCATTTGAAACTCCATAGTTTACTCTAAAGTTTATCTGTACTCGCTTTTTCCATACTTCAAATTTTAAAATACCAATGTAGGTGAAACATTTGCTAAGAAAAGCTTTCCCTGAAATATCGAATCACCTTGAATGATATGATGGATGAGGATCTTAGTGGAAAAAGTCACATTTTAGTGAGTTTGAGTGGATTTAAAGGAGATAAGATTTAAATTTGAATGTGAAGAATTAATAGAAGGAAAAACAAAGTAATTTCTTTAATCATATTTTTAAATACCTTTTTCTCCTCTATTTGTCTAAGTTGTTCTTTATAAATTTCTTGAAGTTCTCCTTTGTTCATCCCTTTCCACCTGTCTCCAGGAACTCTATGAGAACCCAAACTGCTTCTTGCAGAAGAAAGATCTTCATTTAGAAGGGATTCATAGAAATTGAACTCAATATCTTTTTTCTTCTCAATATCATCCATAATTTTATCACTCATCTTCCTTTCAAGAGTTTGCAATGACTGAAAAATAGTTACCAGAAAATTTAAGTTGATAAGTAAGAAATGCTTTTTATTCCTTGCAAATCCCTAAAACAAATGTTCAGTATTATATTAAAATTACAGGCATTATGATTTGGGAGAGTCCCTATATCTAACATAGTTAAGAAGTTATGCACATAAGCTTCAAAATTGTCTAGAAAAGATAGTGGAATCAAGAGATAGAAAGTTTCTTCCACAGTGGGAAAAAAACATAGAAAAATCCCCCTCTGATAGGTTTCTTCATGACCAATATTTTGACAATATAATTGCAATCTAGTTAAAATAATAAGATTAATTTCCAAGCTATTTTATTTCCAAATTTATTTTTAAATCAGAGAAAAATAAATTTAAACAATTTGTAGGAAAAATAAATTTAATAATATTCTCCAAACACTTAAATAACTGTAGTTTTTCAATATTTCATTTTTTAAAAAATTTGTATAGTAAAATCCAATATTGTTTATTGAATAAAGAACTGCTTTAATATCAATAAAATCTTATTACTACAATTAAATTAACACATCCCATACTGAACGTACACACTAAGAATAACACATTGAAGTTATAATTACAAATAGCATACTTATTTTTCCTTATTCAAGTACAAACAAAAGTATCCAACAAAACATCAAATATACAATCAAAAGTATCCAACAAACTCTTGAATAATATTATCTATAAATTTTAAAATTATGAACAAAATAAAAATAAAAAACATTTTTTTAACAAAGTTGAGGAGAAAAACTTTTATTTTTCTGGTACTAAGTTAAATATTTGTTTGTTCTTTTGAAACTTCTTGCTAAACAACATCTTGATAATTTTTAGTTTCTTTCATTCTATCCAGTTTCTTCTAGTTTTTTCCAGTTTCCTCCTGTATTCTGAAAGAAATATTTTCTTCCAGACAAAATGCCAGCCCTGATGGAATCATTCACAACGCTTGGGGATGCTTTCCCAAAATCTAAATTTCTTATTATGCATCAAAATCATATAAATTGTAATATTACTTTTGCATCAGTTTAATTGATAACCTTATATGTGATTTTATCATTTATTTAGAGAGAGAGAATTAAAGAATGTTTTTAGTTTGTTTGCAAACTTTTCTACTAGAACTACCTTCTTATCAAAAAAAAAATAATGTTTTAGCAGGAAATAAAATGTTTATTTGACATATAATAGCACAAATAACTTGATAAAAGCGCTAAGTATGACTGTGAAAGTTAATTATGAAATTTAATTACTTAACATATATAATCAATTAACATTATTTTTGCATAACAGGTTTTTCAACAGTTATGATTCATTTTAAAAGTAAGAAAAGAGAATACATAGCTATAATTTTGATAATACTCTATCTTTTGGGGGTTTAAAATTATTAGGATAAAGAGATGGAATCTTAACATTTGAGGAGCAAAACCACTATATGAATCTTCTGTTCAACATTGGCTATAAGATAAAATTTCTCATGTAGTATCAAAGTTTAAAAGATTGTACTAAGGTAGAATGAGAAAAAAATCCCAAATTGGAAAAAATTATGTTTATAGTTACTGGGTGATTAAAAATCAAACCTTGGTAGTTAAAATAATTTTTATTTCATTTGCTGTGATTTTATTAGAATATTTTTATGCTATTTATTAAATGCTATTGAAAGTTTAGGTAAATCAAATCATTAAAATAAAACAATCATAATTACAAAATTACATCACACAATTAATTAATTAATCATAAAGTCCTTTACTAGCAGATGTCTCAACTTCATAACAAAGCTTCAGGTTAATCATTCTACATCCCAACAATCACCTAAAATTTCTATTAGAAACATTACTTATGGATTTACTTAAAAAGAAAACTAAAAATGAAAACCATATTTTTTTCCTTTTGTATAGAAAACTATATCTTGTGAAATAAATATCTAATAGAAAATTATAAGATTTTTCAACTATTTTGAATAAATGTAGTAATACCAGGCCAGGTACAAGCTAAGTAATCACCAGTTTCCCTGAGTACTTGGACCCAGCAACATTTGAGAACCTGGTACACCTTCAAAAGTGATGGTTAATATTTCAAATTTTAGAACTTAAAAATATAAAATTACAGAATATGTTAAACAAATTACATATATTGTTGTTACAATAATGATAAACATCTTACAAAGTTAAATATTTTACCATCAATTTGTTATCTCTCTTAAGGCTCTCGATCATCTTCTTATAATTTTCTTCTTGCATCTTCTCTAAAAGCATAGCTTTGCGATCTTGATCAAGTAAAGCTTTTTCCCATTCCTGAATCTCTCTGTCTTTTTTATAATTTTCAAGGCGCTTCTCGTGCATTTGTTGCAACAAAAGATCTCGAATCTGCTGTTTCTGCTTTTTGCTTCTATTTTTATTGTTTAAATCTTCTCCGTCCAATCTACAAAATAACTTACTTTAATCCAAAAGAAAAAAAGAAAAGTTTTCAGAAATATAAAGAAAAATTTTTAAGAAGTTTTAAGTGAAAAAACGAACAAAAAAAGACTTTAACAAAAAGAGATATCAAAACAACTATTATTTTTCAAAATACCCAGAAACCTCTGAAACATTAAAAAAAGCTATTTATATTTATGACTAAAAGAGTAATTTAAGACACTGTATACAAGTTAAGTAAGTTTTGAAATATGAAATGTTTTGATGTAATTTCTGTGATCATAAAAAAAGTTCAAAAAGTGTGAAGTAGCAACTTTAATGACAAGCTAGCTCCAACTCTGATTAAATCTTACCTACCACTTCTTTAACCCTTTATAAAGTCCTGAAAAGTATCTTCTCATCAGCTTTAATCTCAATGGTAATTTTTTTATTTATCTACGATTTGTGCAGCCATCTGCTGATAGGTACAGAGAGTACAAAAAAAACTAACAGTTAAGGGCTTTGTTTATATAAATGTGGATAATAGCATAGATTAGAGTGGAGTGAAAAAAGAGAAACTAACACTGGGCATCTATTTTTTCTTGCATATTATGCATTCGTTCTTTTGATCACATTTCATAGAATTTATTTGCAGTTATAAGCACAGAGTTCATAAATTTTGTTATTTATAAACACAAAAATTCAAATTTATAGTCACTTCTTTACAGAAAGTAAAAATTTAAAAAATCTCCTTTCCACCAAAATAAATAACTAAAATCGATTTTAGACAAATGAATTTCTTTTCATTAGTCAATCTTGACCACAAAAATATTTTAACTTAATATTACTAGAAAAAAAGAGCCCCAAACTTATTCTACAACAGCTGAATCATATTTTTAGAAAATATTAATAAAAGTTACCTCATGCATCATATTCACAAAAGGAAAAAATTCTAAAATATTGCATAAGCAATTATTTTTAAGTCCATAAAATAATATCTAGCTATGCATCGATTAATACAGCGAAGAAAAGAGCACAACATAATTTTACCCTCCAACAGAATATTTAAAATAATTATAAGCAAAAGTATTTAAAGTACAGATGTAGACAACACAGAATTCCAAAACTATTTGCAATTATTACAGTTGTATGGATTTCCAGAAAAAAAACACTAAAATTAAATTTAACAACTTTTATTCACAAATAGAAAATTATTATACAAACAGTAAAACTTTGGTCAGAAAACCTCACTCATTACCGATCAGAATAATACTGACTCCTTTTAGGAAAGAAGTTATTTTCAGAATGAAACTCAATGGTAGCACCATCTCTGAGATGAAACAATAAAGTCAGAACATTCTGATTTGAATTACACACATCTCTATCATCCGATTTAGTATTATTGTATAGTAAATTATTACTCATAATTGATTAATCAACGTGTATAGTAAAGGCAAAGAGGTGTAAAGTAAAGGAAAAAATTCAAATATTTATTTGCATACTTAGTTACTTTTGTTTACAACTAGTTTAACAATTACAAGGAAAAAGTAAATCTTACGTTCTACAAAAATATTGATAGAAATTTTTTCTAAAGCTTTATTTTCAGAATTCTTCATTAACTTTTCTTTTCCTAAGATTTTATAATAAAAATTGGTCATTGCTCAACTATCTATGTACTGATGAAATTTCATTCTCCCCCTCTCTCTCTCTTTAAATAATAATCATAATGCATCTGGCTTTTTATGTTGTATACGAATTGTTCAAATCATATTAAGTTTTCATTTCTATCTTGAAAATATATTCCACTTTTAACAATATTGGAAGAAAGATCTGGTAGTAAAAAGATCTGCAATGTAAAATAATTATTTAGTGAAGCAAAGAAATTTATTTTAGTTCAAATAATTAATTGGTTCATTTATAAAATATTTTTAACTTTCTAACCATAATTTTAAAAAAAGTTCGTATCTTCTATTTTCTACTTGTGTCATCATCGTGGTCATTATTGATCCAACAACATCTTGGAGTAGCCTTTAGCTTTCTCCAGGCAGTTATTTTCTTGCCCTTTCAATACCACAATTGCTCTGAAATCTGAATTAATGAAGTCCAGCCATCAAAGTCAACTGGTTTTTAGTTCTACTTCCAACTGGTTTATGTTTAAAAAACTCACATGTTCTGTTAGTCTTATCTAAACGACAAATATACCTGACAAATTTCATTTTATTTAACTTTATAAATTTTTTTACATCAATTTCCTTGTAAATTTCCATATATATTTATGTACTTTGCTACATGTACTTGAAATAAAATTTACTGAAGAACTTCTCATTTTTATAATCTACAATCCTATATATGATCAACAACCATTTACTCATATAAAAAGAAAGGCCAAAAAATATTATTTAATTTTAACAACTAACATACTTTTGTAATCCAGATATAGGACAAAGATCATTATCTGATATCCTGGGAGGAAGTTCTTTCTTTTTCCCATCGGGATCATATAAGTCAAAATCTCTTCTAAATTCAGGTCTCTGTGCAGTAAGGCGATATTCATCCATTTTCTTATTAACTTCACGAACTTGGTCATTTTTTTGTTGCTCAAAAAGAAGGGCAAGTTTGTCGTTATTTATAGCTTCTTCAGCTGAAATATGCATCAAAAAAAATTTTTATTCAAAAAGCTTTGGCAGGCTGGACAAAAATTAGTCTCCCTACATCGAAATTTATGGAGTGAATCTGAAGCACTACCTATCTTCATTTTTAGCCTCCACACAGTCAGATTGAGATTAATATTCGAAAAATAAATCTAATCTATGTAATTTAAACTTCTTTTGTACATTTTTCTAAAAAAAAAAACTTTTGAATTTTTTTAGTTATCTTTCAAAATGTAAACCAATTAAATTTGAAATAAGTTTGTCTCAGTACTGGATTTACTGGTGATAGAACACTGATAGATTTCAGGTTACCTCATTACAGTTCGAATTCACTAAAATTTTAGTATATTGTACCTCAAAAAGCTTCTAAAAATAATTCTTAATAGCAATATATTGGTAAATAGAAACTTTCAGTAAATTAACGGCCTGACTTCATTATATCTTATCAGAAATGTTACATTTTAAAAAAAAAATAAATGAAAAAATTATTTTTCCCTTGTCTTGCAAAGTGGGCAATGAACCCAAAAAATATTGTGAAACTATGCCATAGAATATCTGTGGGACCTACAAAATCTTATAAAATTACCTTGTGTACTGAATCTAAGAAATAATTAAGTCCATGGACGGAGTTGCACATCATTAAATTATTACCTTTCATTATTTATCTGATTGTGACTAATTTTTTGTCCAATGAGCTTGTGAGTAATTCATCCTATTATTGGAATGTTGTTAAGAATCAACACTTTATTTTTAACCTTTTAACTTCAAAATATCGTGTAGGCTAGATAATAATGTACACATGCACATCTGTACACACTCAGATTTAGTGAAGAAGAATTTCTGAAATTGATACAAATTTTAAATTTAAAAAAAATCTTATTTTGCTAGCTTCATGAAGGCAATATAGTCTACTTTGATGATTATAAAAAAGAGTAATGTATGATAATTTATTAAAAAATATAAAGCCTTGCATACAAACTACTTTGATACTCAAAAAACGAAAACAGATTTGAAGGGCCTAAGCATTTAACTTAAGCATATTAATATGAGGACTGATATGTTTAAAAATTTATCATGCACAAAAACACAATAATTTTTCAAACTATAAAGTTTACTCTAATAGTAGATCTTTAGATAAAATATTTTTTTATACTGTTTTCTCTTATTTATTGACAGTATTTCAAAGTAATTTTAAATTTATACAAAAAGTTAAAACATGGCAACAAAACAGTTTCATAAATAGCCATTATCTAAAAGATTTAAAACATTTTAGCCAACGAAGTGCATTAAAGATGTACAATTTTAACAAGTCCTTTGTTATAATTTTATAACTTTGTTCAATAATAATATAAAATTATATTATATTTTTTATTGTATAGGTCTAAAGCTGCCTTTAAGTTTTATGAATATAGTATATACATAGTATAACTATCATAGTATAATTATCATAGAATGGTATCAATACATTTTCATACAGTTTAAAGCTAAAAGCATCATTAAAAGTTCAAATTTGCTACACAGATATTACAAATAATTAGGAGGCATCGCTCCCTGCTCTCTGGCGCTCGCCAACCCTCGGAACTGCTTTCACAGTTCATTTTGGATTGCTTCGCAATCCAATGCTCGCTCTGCTCGCTCATTGGGTACGTTCTTAACGTCTAGCTTTTGTATACTTTTTTTAATACTGAAGTTCCGAAAACTTTTCACTGTAGAAACTTTTAAACCTGTACATTTCAATATTAATTTGAAATTGCAAACAGTTCACATATTTTGTTTAATCATACTATTCTAAATTTCAGTTGTTGAGAAAAGTAACTGTTGTAAGTTTTGTTTTAAAGTCTTTCCCACCAGTGGGCTAAAGCCATGTGTTGTAAAACAATATGAAATAGTAGTCTGCCACTGAACGCCGGATGTAAAGCATCGGCTTCGATGAAGATAATTTTGTATTTTTAATTCTGAAAAGGGCGCCACCCTAATAATATAGAATTTGTAATATAAATGTATATATTTTTGATTGTTGATGAAGGCCTGTACTGTTCTCTGTATATATGAAGAAAACAATGTAAATATTTAAGTGTTGTGAAAAGAATCTTATTTAGTTGTGCAAAGTACTTCTTTAAAAATGAAAACTTTTGCCACCAGCGGAAAAGAAATACATCCAAAATTTGGGAGCCATGTAAGAGAATTATATATATTAGATTATTATTACATAGCTAATATTTGCTAAATCAGTGCTATTACTATATTTATATTCTATATTATTGCTAATTATTATTATTAGCTTATTGCAATTGAAAGAAACTAATAGTATAAAAAGACAAAACACGCTTTATATAAAGCGCACAAGCTTTATATATATATATATAAAGCTTGGGGGAAAAACTACTTGTTTATTTTGAACCTATATTTTTTTTTCTTAAGAAGGATTTTTTTTTAAATTTTACTTAAACAATATGTCGAAGAATATTTTAAGCTCTTAATTTTAATTGAATAAACCATTCCAAAGTATTTTATAGCATTTAACTATTATATTAAACAAATAGTTAATTTTTTCAATAAACAATTCAAAAATATCTACTTTTGTTCCATAAATATGCTAACATAATAATAAAAAAGTGAACTGAGGACATTAAATATGCTTTTAAATTATTCAGTTCTTCTCCTTTTTACACTTACTTTACAACTCTGCTTAGCAAGCAAATAAACACTTAACATTAAAATTTTATTTCAGTAATACAGTAAAACCTTTTTTTGTGCGGTGGATAGGGACCGCATAAAAGAAATCGCACAAAAAAAAAATTCGAAAATTTTATAAATTCTGACATGTAATAAGCAAGTTTGTACCATATACCACCAGAAACTTTTTTTATGCGGTTGATAGGGACCGCATAAAAAAAGTCGGACTCAGAAAATACATCAATGATTTATGAAATAGATAAGAGAATGCTTTCAATAAAAGTAAATAATTAAATTCGACCTAAAGAAATTTTAAAAATATTTAATTCTTCATTGTACATATACATGTAGAAGTTTTCAAATTATACATTAAATAGTTTGCTGCTACTCGTCGTAATCCAAAACGCGCATCTTCTTGGAATGAATTGGTTGAAAATTGCTTGAAAATAGGATTTCAATTTATTTGTTTTTTGGTACCATAAAGTCAGTGATCTGATAAAATAAAATAAAAATCGAAAAAACTGCATATAAATAGAAACAAAAGTAATTAATTTTTTTACCTTTAATCTCACTATAAAATGAATCCTTAATCTAATGAATCATGTATAGAACTCTGAATACGAAGCGTATAGTATTTGAGATACGCGCAGACGAGAATTTACAAAATAAAAATAACGGTTTAATTTTAAAATACTAAGTATTTTAACACAGCAAACGATTTTTTACTGATTTACTTCAACTTGTTTAGCGCAGAATAAATTTTAAACAGAAGAGAAAATGGAGTTGACGATAATAAATGAACTAATGAAAGTAAATAAACAGAGCAGTCCAGATACATCGTTGTCAAGGAGACCACGTAATCAGATTTCGTCCACAACATGCATATGCACATTGATAGGAAACATTAAACTGGTGCTAACGCCGTTAAGATCCATATACCGCATAAAAATAATTCGCACAAAAAAAATCGCACAAAAATAGAATCGCATAAAACCAATCGCACAAAAACAGAATCGCATAAAAAAGGACTGCACAAAAACAGGTCTCACTGTATATGTTGAAGAATGACTTCCTCTCTTGCTTGTCTGTAATATAAAAATGCTATACTTTGGCATTATTTATTTTATAACATTATTTAGTTGTAAACAATTTATGTTACTATTAAGTTTTATGGAATATACATTTCTTATTTTTTATAATCTTCTAAATCAATACAAACTTTAACAAATTTAAGGGAATATATCATACATATTTCATATAGATCATTTTTTAAAAAAAATGGAATGATGAAAAGGCACAAAAATGATATGGGTCGAACAGAAAATGATAAAAGTATGCTTTAGTAATAAAGGTAATAAAGCATAAACTACTTTTTTCATTTATTTCTGCACAATGGTGCTTTAAGTTTAATAATATCAGAAGTATAGTTGTTCTGAAATTTCTGATTTTCCTAATAAAAAATATGTTGTTGCTATTTGTCCTTTACTTTTTCAATCGCCCTGATCTCTGACTTGTGTGCATTCAGAACACCCCATTTTCAACGATATCTAATGCAGTTCTTTAAAAAAAAATTTGAAAAATCTAAGATTTGAATGTTTGATTTAATATCTTTTTTAACTAATAGTTCATACAGAAGCTTACTTTTGAATACAATTGCTGAGACACATGATTCTTTGTGTTTTTGCTTTAAATAATTGAAATCCCACGTTAAAAAATTTTACTAAAGAAGTCATGAATTTGATTTCAAACTTTAAATGCAAGAAACAATAGTAACTATAATAGATATCGATTATCTTTTTAATGCGACAGTATCATTAAAATTCCGTAAATATTCATCTCACTTTATTAGAATTGCTTGGTAAATACATTAATAGAGGTCTAATGGAAAAATGGTTAAAACTTTTTTTATTGTGCTTAAATAGAGCAAATTTTACTTTGCTTTAGTTTGTTGTTTACCCTTTTTAAAAGTAGTCTGGAACATGTATGCTGTATCAAAAATGTCTGGTTTAGTTACTTTAGCCTCAATTTTAGCCTAGGTTTATAATTTTCTTATTAACATAATGCTGCCTTAAATAAAATGAAATACAATAAAAATATTCTAAATGAATTGTAAATGTTTTTGTAAGAATTGTATTTAATACAAAAAATGATTTTCGAAAATATTACAAAAATGAATAAAATCATAATACAATATAAATTTGTTTACACTAATAACAGAAAAAAATTCTAAACATAAACCGAAAGTAAAGTGTAAAATTTAGACAAGCATTTCATTTCCAATTATGCTTTTGATTGTAACAAGCATATGTTTTTGACAAGATAAGAAAAAAGCTTCTCTAACTAAAGCTTTTTTTAACTCATTAAATAGTAATTACAATACTGAACTAACTTTAACAGAAAAACAAAAAATGGATTTAGTGATGCTGTATTTAATTTTAAGCATTCTCAGAACACTTTTTCTCGCATCAATTTGTTTTTATGGATATTTTTGTAAGAAAGCTATCACATCTAAATATTTAAAAATTATGTACTATATTTGTTTAAAACAAATGCAGATTTTCATTTGTATATAAAATTAAAAGAGAAAATTTTTTATATTTTTTCAACTGATTTTATTCAAATTATAACTATTTAGATTAATAAATAATAAAAAATTTAAATTTTAAAAAGACTATTAAAAAATATTTAGTTTAAAAGCATGGTTTAAATCAGTGAACACTATATATATATATATAAAATAAATAAGAATAATACAGTCAATTCAAGAGATTATAATTTTTCAAAAAAACAAAGAAAGCAATTTTACATACTTTAGATTTTACTCTTTTAAGTTTAACCATACATTTTTTAGTGAATAAAAAAAATAATCAATTGAATATAAAGATTTTCATTGTGTTTATTTAATCTTCAATGTACTAAAAATTTACAAAAATTAAAGAGGAAAAAACTATCAAAGATTATGAATTAGAATTTAGTGTTTACCAAATTTTCTGTCTCTTTCTTCTTCTTTTGCTCTTTGAAATTTGGAATCATGAACTTGCCAATTCAGGGCTTCAACATCAATCTAAAAAGGGAGCAAAAAGTTAAAAATAAAGAATTCAATAATCGATAAACTAAAAATGAAAAACATAATTTGAAGAATCAGGATTTTAATTTTAAAAAAATTCATATTCTTATTAAAATATAACTAATGTAAAGAAAATTAGACAGACTTCATAATAAAAAGAAAATTAAACTTTCATAGTCCATCATTTATGCAAATAGAGCATAGAAAGTAGTTTTAAAAATAAAACTTCAACTAGAGAACAAATATATTCTACAAAATACCAGGGTTTTCACTTAGCTTTATTTTAATTGGGTTCCAGGAGCTTACGCTCTACATGCATAAACTTTTCAAGAAAAACTAAGATCGGAAATTAAAAATGCATTTCTTATTAGCAAGTTAAAACTTCGTTAAAAAGTTTGAAATTATATAAAACTGCGCATCACAGAAGTAAATGATAAAAACATGCTCTAAATTAAATAAAGATCAAATATAAAACATTCATATTTTTAAGTTACTACCCATATATTATTTACTTTATGAATTATAAAAATCCTATACTAACTGGATATTAAAAATTATCTCATCAACTTAAATAGCCTCATGAGGAAAGAAGTTAAAAACATATTAAAGAATCTTCTAAAACACATTATTTTAAAACCAACATAAAAATTTAAGAACAATTTTTCAGCATCATACTCATTATATTGATTTGACATTATATTGATTTGATTTTACATTTATCATACAGAAGCTCTGCCTTTTGATAAATCATTTTTCTCTCAATAACTCGTTTTAGCCAATACAACAGCTTTTCAAACACTACTAAACTACTTTTTTATTTTCAAAATCATAACAGTCGATTAATTATTGAGAAAACTTTACAAAACTATTGCAATGATTATTGAATTGATATAAAAATAAACTATGGGGATAATCTACTCTACTTTTTTTAATTTTTCATTACCATAGTGTCTTCTGGAGAAAAAAAAAAATTCTCACAACATTTGGTGTTGGGAAAAAAATTTCTAGAGATTTAATTTATGAATCACACATGAACCATTTGGCATACATTGAATTATTGCACACTTTTACATATTTGGATTGTAGCAAAAACTACTCTGATTGTTAAATAATTTTTAGTTATTTTCATTATTCATTAATTAATAGAAATAATATAGCTAAAAAAAGTTATATAGAGTTGAGTTAAATGTAGAGTTTGATGTCAAAAATCTCCAATTCTTACCAAATTTTCTTCAATTCCTCAACTCTGACTCACCTTGGTTGAAAACAAAATCCTGGGGAAAATAAGTCAGAGTGCAAAAAAGTTTTAATCAAAAAAAATAATTAAAAACAAACTAAAATACTATCAAATACATACATGACCAATAAAAATATTTCAATAAATTTTTTTTTACCCCAATCTGTCTGACTTTACTGTTGAAAATACGTTGTTTTCGCTGTTCCTCAACTATTCTTCTTCGATTTATGCTCGCAGTTAATTTTTCATCAAGAGGAAGATTTAATGCCATGTTGTTGCTTTGTGAGAAAGCTGTTTTAACAAAAAATAAAATAAAATTAATATTTTCAAAATTTTGATCATATCTAAATACATAAATATTATATTTGTTGATGGAATCTATTATCTTTGTTGTATTCCTAGTGACTATGAATAGGATAAAAAAAAATTTATTGACTTCAAATTAAGAAGAGAGAAAAAAACTCATAAAAACTATCAAAATGAGTTCCTAAAATATTTGCATGACAGAGAAAATTACCACTTTTGTTTTGAAGATTGTAATGTCAAGGCACAACCTGACATTTGTAGTTGCATAAAATTAATATTTATATTAGGCTGAAAAGTATCTAGGTCATAACTATTTGTCCTCGATAGTTAATAAAAATAATTAATGTTCAAACCAGCCATTGGCAAAACTTGCAGCGGGAGGTGAAAAAATAAGGAATAAAGAAACAGTTGCCTGTTACCAACTTTTAAAACCTGTGTGTCATATGCAAAACTCATTAAAACTATATAGTTTGACTCTTTTTAGTCATACGATTTAATCACATTTGTATAGGCTATTAATAAACAAAAAGTATTTTGGTATTAATAATTTTTTGCATTAACTGACATCAATTGCATCAGAGTTGGCAAAGTTTAGGACAGAATGGATTAATCCACGGTTTAATCAGTCTTGTCCAAAACTGTCTAAAACCCTTTTACTCAGATTATGCCATAATTTTAAAAAAATATTGTGAAAAATAAAATGTTAATTTTTGAACAAGAAACAAAATGAATGCAATTTATTGTCTTATTAAAAAAGTTTATTATTATATTTAATATTGCATTATTTATCCTTATGCAAAAACATAATGTATCAGTATAAAAAGCATATACATTCATATTTAAGGGATAAGGTATTCACTTTTGTTGTTCAATGAATTGTGGAGCCTCGAAAGTTATAAATCTTTTCCTGTTATATTATTTTCTTTCAATAAGTTTAAGCAAACTGCATAAATAGCATCAAATATTTATTAATATATGTAATTATTAAGGGTTACACATATAGAATGTTTACCTTTTACCAAAGTGCAAGCTTTTGGACACTTTAATACAGTTTTAGTCAGTTTAGGACAATTTAAGACATTTAAATACAGTTAAACCCATGTGTCCTGTCTAAAACCAGTTTAGGACGTCCAAAACCCCAACACTGAGTCACATATTATTAAATGTTACACATTTTGAAATGTGTAACATTAATTAAATAGTGGTAGAGTGTGGAACTTCATCTTATCCAGCTTTTTGGTCATTTGGCCTATCTCTCCCTCACATTAGATCAGATAGTTGGGAGTTTACTGCAGTGTTCTCCCTAAACGTTTTTAGAAGGGTGGCCTGCCCTTTGATCGTTAGAAATGCACCTACTTTGCCTCTTTTGTAAAAATAAGTCACCCTCCCTCCAAAACACTGCTTTTTTATTCTATTTTTTCAGGAAAAGGTTGTTTTCTTAACCACCTGTTTTAATGAAAAGTTCACTTTAGATTTATTTAGTTATTTATAATTATTTAACTTAAATTTTTAATTTCCTTCCTTCATTTTAGTAAGATTTTTCTTATGTTTTCTAGTTATATAGTTAAAATCTGCATGAAATTCGACACCAGAAATATTCACATAAAGAGAAGAGGATATTGTATAAAAATCAAACTGTCTAAAATAATTATAACTAGTAAGAACCTTGGCCCAAGTTGGGCTCGAAATTGTTGAGACCTATAAGAACATATGCACCAAGGGACCAATACTGTGATGAATAGGTTTTTTAATATTGATCCTAGAATGGCCTATATTGGCAGGATGATAAATATAAAATATGGGATGAATCGGACAATTCTATCTATGGCCAATAGCGGGAAATAACGACCATTTGAACCCTCAGTGAGTCAAAATTCGTAAATATCGGTGCAGTGAGGACCCAAGTTATTTTGCTGCTAGGAATAATTCTGCAACACAACACAATAGTTTTTTAAAGTTTTAAAAAATAATAATAATAAAGCTATTTTGAATTTAAAATCCATAAAAAAACAGCTCTATAAAGATAGTTTCAATATGTAATCAGCTAAAAATTTCTATTATTGATCACGTTTAATGCTAAGTTCTTATACAGTAAACTGGAATATGAGCAATGCATAAACTAAAGAAACAAATAATTTTTTTTAATTTAAACATCATTTAAGCCTATTGGTAGACCAAGCATATAGCTTTTATAAGAAAAAAAATGAGTAACTTAAAGCTCATACATGTAAAAAGAAAGTAAAAACAAGCAGTCTAGATAGGAAATTATTCAAAATTTTGAGTAAATAAACAAACGATAGCACCGACAGTTGTTGCCATGACAATGGTTCGCACAGTCCCAGTTATACTGAATGCTTTAATGATTGCTGTTACAGATGCTTTAATAATATTTCATAAATGATTTAAAATTGAAATAATCCCTCTTTTAAATTTATTATAAAAACTTGAGACGTAAAAAAAAAAATCAGCAATTTCATTACTTAAATTTACTTATTTCTCAAATATCCTTGATTTCCAAAAACGCTCAAAAAAAGTAAACTAGATGTGATTAATGGCACTGAATCTTTTTTTTAGTGATTTTAAATTATTTAATTTACCAAAACTAACAATTTTAACAAAATTCATTTGAAAACTTAGCAGAAGACACGTCACACAAAACACGTTATCCTTATTTTCGATTCCGAAACATGGCAATTGAAAACTGGAACCGTGGAGCAGAAAACTGTTAGCCGATTTGGGAACGCTGTTCTGTTTTCGAACCGAGAAACAGAAATTTCCTTTTAGTTGTTTCTTATCATGAGGTTATAATCTTGGATAATCTAAATATTACCTTACTCATTTGTTTTATAAATTATTTAAAATGTTTTCTAAGAATTTATTGTTAGTTTTTTTAATTGTTTTTCCCGTCATTACGTTACATTTATCTAAAGGTAAGTTCTTCAATCTTGATCTCTGCAGAGAATTTAGGAAGAATCTCCATAGTTAAAAGGGGGCCCCCAAAATGTAAACAATCAGTGACGTGGCCCCCTTTTGACACCTTTTAAAAATTTTGATGACTTTCTTCCTTAAATCCTTATATTTAAATGAGTATTTATGAATTGCAATGTTAATTTATTATCAGTTTTAAATATTATTTACTAGCATAATACAAAATTAGTTCCTTGACCCCATAAATAAAATTTTGATCACTTTGATTTAGTTGTGATTTATCTAATTAGTGTTATACTTTTAAGTTTATGACTAGTTAATTTTTCATTTCGTTTTTTTTTCTCTACATTTTCTGGTTTTCAATAGCCGGTATTATACTTTGTATGTTTTAATGAATTGTTACAAACGTTTAATGTAATAAAATCGCTTGAATCCGCATATCTGAAAGTGATATGCATTGCATGCTAAATGAGTAAGACTCCCTTCTTATTTATAATACATAATTGTTTTTAATACATTTTTGCAGAATGTATTACTTAAAACTATTTCTGCTTTCAATGATAATTAAACAAAATGGTATTTTTATTTGTAATTTATCTTTTCATTGTATCTATGCCTAATTGATCCCAACAAGGGTTTTGCTTTTAGGTAAATATAGGTTCTGAGACCTAAGATACTCAAAGAATATTATGAACCTCTCTTTGCATTTTGACTTTACAGTACTGTTTTTTCAGCTTAACTAGAGGACAAAATGTTAAGTCTTGATGCAGTATAGCAGATTCTGGCTCTATGTTATTGAAATTTACATTCAGGAATCTTAAACTGATGTAATTTATCAAAATTATGCATTAGAATTACCTTAGGGGGAAAGAAAGGTACTCCTGCTACTTTTTTTAATCAGGTTTTACCCTACTGCTTGTTCAGCTTATCTAGAGTGCATACTAATAGGATACCTCTCTTGAACTCTCTCCCTCCCTTCATTTGACTGCCCTACATTTGCAAATGAAGTTTGAAAGGAAATATTTCTGTATCTGTACTTGTTCATGGCAAAGGCAAGGTGCATAGCGTTTTTAAAAAGTGCTTAAAGGTGCTTATTTTCGACTTTTGTTTTTTAAAAGCCGTTAAAGGTGCTTTTTTCATTGGGTGTTTTTGAAAAGTACTTAATTTTCCCTTTTCCAAAATGAGATTTTTTTTTCTCCTTACCATATCAATTTTTAATTTGAATTACTCAAAAAGCGTTTTCATTCATAATTGTTCTATTCAACGTGTTCATTCTACCACAATCTATTTCGACATACCATCGGTCTGCAGCGTATGAAAGCACCAATCATTTTATGAGAAACTTGTGGGTTCGAATACCGAGTTGGATTCCTAAGGAAGGATTCGTGCATTCTCATGAGCAACTCTGCTGCATTTTTCAAGAAAGATAATTTTGAATGAATTTTTTTACATAATTGTGTGAAGTAATTCGAAATTTAAAAAATTGAGTGAATCACTCAATATTGAATGTATTTGAAATTATGAAATTGTTTTTATGGTGGCTAATATAATCACGAAAAGAATTCTTTGTCAGAAACTAGAGCTAGATCATACTAGAACTAGATCTTGTCACTTTTTAAAACTATTTTGCATTTTGTTAACATATATATGAAGAACTTTCAACAATATAAAGGGAAAAAATTATTAGTGTGTATATATCCTAATTATAAAATTTTGCTTAAAAGTACTTAAAAAGAAATTTCCAGTGCTTAAAAGGTGCTTATTTTTTGTTGAAAAATTTGACTATGTACCCTGAGAGGGTTTTTTAACTTCTAAAATAATATATAAAAGTTGGTCCACAGTTGGGTAAGAGTTAGTTCTCTCTGTGAAGATTTTATTTTATTATTTTTTTTAGTTTCTCAGGGCTACTGCCCGGAAGTTCCCAAAACCTTAAACTTTTTGTATTATTTTTAAAATATAATTTACTGAAACTAAAAGAATGTTCAGCATCTTGGTTAACATTTTGCTTTTTTTTGGCATCAGACTTTATAATTAAAAACTAACTATACACTTTTGAAATTGGTAATGATATATTGTTTTGATGTTCTATAATGTTCTCATCTATTATAGGTTTAGTTAGTGCTCAAATTGATATAACTGATGATGAAGAAGCTGATGTTGAAGATCTACAACCTGAATCAGAAGCTGCTGTTGTTGGAAAGGTAAATGTGCTATTTTTTGTCTTATTGCTAAAATTTTAGATACGTATTATATATTAATATTAGGAATTTCCAATGGAAATTATTTAAGTAGGCAGAAATAATCGTATGTTACAGTAAAATTCTATTTGGGCAAATTCGACTTTTGTTTGGATCAAAATTAGAAGTAATAAAATATTTTATTTTTCATACTCCTTTAAATATCACTTTAAAAATGAGTTTAAAAAAATAAACTGTTAAATCTATGCTGTAATCATGTACGTTGTTGCATTTATGGTTTTAAACTTTTATGTTTTTGTATGTGTTAGTATCTAATAGGACAGTATATTGGGTAATATTTTTCTCTTATTTTTTGCTTAGTCACTTGGTTAACATAAAATTGAGATATTTTAAATTAGTAATTTTAGACATAATGTGTTGGCAATTGTTGTGAATTGCCAAAAATTGTTCACGATATTTTGAATAGTTTAGAAAATTATTGATATGCATCATTTCTGTTAAGTAAGATTTATTGTATATATAATTTCATCATTCATTTTAAGTGTTATTAATTATTTATAACCAATGAATTAACTCTGCCAGTGTTCGTGCTATAAAATTTTATGCAGGTGTTTTTACGTTAAAAACCTTTGCTTCTTGTGTTTAAATTTTCTGATGATCAAAAAAATGTTTAATGAAGTCCACAAAATATTTTTCAAGTTTATTATTTGGCACTATAAGCCATATGTTCCACATAATTCATAGCCTGGTTATTTTGTATTTAGAGCCAAAACATTATGAAAAGCTAAAATATAAGGCAACCTATGTCAATCCAAAAAACATGTATATTTTTTAAACTTTTTTTTTATTAACAAAAATAGTAATGAAGAAAAAAAGGGGGAAATTTAGACATAATAAATGCAACAATGTTTAGTGGCCCCCAGCATATTTATTCCATAATCAGATTATTAAAAATTTATTGAACTTTATTATAGGAAACTAAGGTAAGTTGAATCTGTTTAATTTAATCTAATTTAATCCCAGTTTTTAAAAAAAAAATTATGGTAAATTTTAAAGAATTGTTAGTTTCTGATTAATATTCAACTAATTTTGAATAACAAACTTAAAAGTTTTTTAGCTTTTTACAATTTGAGCTTAATGTGTAGTTATTATAATCAATTATAATAAAAGTGTTCTTTACTCTGAAGGTAAACATGTTCTTTTTTATTTATAGGAAACCAGGGTAGGTTGTGCTTGTCTTTTATTTGATCTTAATCTTAAAAATCTAATGTCAATTTTAAAAATAAAAAAAAATTATCTGAGTCCTCATCAGCCACAGTTTATCAGTTGCTGGGCCAAATGTAGTCATCAATATTTATTTTAACCGCAACAATAAAACCAAGTAAATTTTCTGTTTTGTTTGAAATAAGATTAATATCTAAACTTTATCATAGCCTTAAAACTATGGATGGTTGACTGTATAAAGCTAAGCACATGTGATGCTAGGGGTTAACATTCGCTGTAAGATTTCTAAGTTACTAATTCCGATTGATCTATAAGCCCAAGCTTTAAAAAAAAAACACGCCATTAATCTTATTATACTTGTAACATAATGTAACATATTCTTACTTTTATTCAATGTAACATATTCATTAAACTTCAAAGAATGAATTCAGAAGACTCAACAAGGTACTACCCAAAAAATAACAATCTGCAATATTTTACACTTGATTTATGCTATGATATTAGTTTTCTTCAGGGTGCGTAGCGTTTTTAAAAAGTGCTTAAAGGTGCTTATTTTTTATTATGTTTTTTAATAGCCCTTAAAGGTGCTTATTTTTTATTCAGTGTTTGTAAAAAGTGTTTAATTTTCTATCTTTTAAAAGATTTTTTTTCTTTGCCGTATTGATTGTTGTTCTAAATTACAGAAAATGCATTATTTTCACAATTTTCTCTGCAGTATTTATCAGAAACTTGTTAGATCATCATGATTATGTCAAATTTTTGAAAATGTTATTGATTTTATGTTTATGAATTAGGTACTTTAAACGATAGAAAAAAATATTTTTTATTACTACTCAGATCCTAATTATGGGTTTTTTTTTTTTTTTGGAAAAGTGATTAAAAATATTTGTTGAGTACTTGAAAAGGTGCTTATTTTTTTGATTGAAAAACTGGCTACCCGTCTTTCTATAACAAATTTTATCTTTTTGTAAATGACAAACATTGTTTTGAAGACTTAATGTGATTAAGTTAACTGTTTTTTTTTAATTAGCTTTTGTTTTACTAAGTTTTTTTTCTCCTTTAAATTTGTTAAACTACTATAATTTCTTAATTCTTTAGATTGCTTTTGAAACATTAATCTAACTTTAACATCTTTATTGATATAGGCTTTTACTGTCCCATATGGAGTGAGTATCACAAAAACTCAAATATACTTATACTTGTTTGTTTTCTCTTAGCTTCCTTTTAAATAATAGAAATACTGTGATATTTTAACAAAATCATTGTTTCCTTTCACGTCATTTCCTTTTAGGCAATTAAAAGAGTTGTAACTTTTCAGTAAATCATTGAAAAATCAATCTTCAAATCACCTGTTTATGTGTTTCCACTAAACTTTTCAATTGTTGAATGATGAATTCCTACACAAATAACTTATATATTATTTCCAGATGTAGTTTTTTTAGTATTTTTCTAAATACAAATATTTTTAGAAATATATATTTTTTAGAAATCATATTTTTTTAACTAATTGTTTGTTTTATTTTGACTTATACGGTAAGCTTTGATACACTCATATTTTAAGTAAAATACCTTAGTATGAAAATTAAAAAAGCTAACAGTGTTTGATCTGCATAATTGTTGAACTGGAAAGGACAAAATTTCATATTGCGATATGTGTGGGTAGCCTTATTCAAAAATGTGTTTTCTTTCTAATTTATTATCTAATCTGTTTTTTTTTTTTTTTTTTTTTTTTTTTTTTTTTACTGTATACGTGGGCAGGTGTCTGTCCCTACATTTTGTGAAAGATCCTGTTTTTGTAAAAATGTGGAAAAAAACTCCTCATATTTATGAATATAATACAAGCGTTAATTCATTCTTTCAACCAGGGTCCTGCTTTTGTGAATTTGTGCAAATAAGGTTCTGTTATTGCAAAAATTGCTAAAAATTTTATCAAGAAGTTTTTAAATTGTAAATAGATACAAGATTCTGCTCAACAATTGATGTTACTAAATTAGAGATGCAACATACAAATATTTGGTATTTAGCCTATACTGCGCAACACCGAATATTCATTTTGGATGAAAAATGGAAACAAAATCACTCACATTTTTAATAATTTCAATTGACGTATTTTAAATAACACAACTTAAAAATGTATCACTTTTAATGTGTTATGCATTAAGTAAACTTAAACAATTCTTAAATTTATATTTTATTTAAAAAATTTCCAGAAATAAATTTTTATTTACATAATATTCTATTAATTAATTTTATGAATTAATATTAATAAGAATGCACACACGATGTTTGTAAAAGTAGAAATATTTTCTTAGAATACTACATTTGAAATTTAAACTTAGGGAAACTTAGTTTGTCTCGAACCATCTATCTTTCCCCTCCCCCGGGAAGAATTTATTCAATTAAAACAATAATAGAGATAAAATAATTTGTGAAGGGTCCGATTAAAAGATAAATTATTTTGTGAAGGGTCCGTTTTTATGAAAATATATTTTGTGAGGGGTCCGTTGACGGACCCAGATTTCTTCTAAACAGACCCCTGGAATTGAACATCTTTTGAAAAAGCCTAATGTGATGAATTACACATTCTTATTCAAAAAGAATGGCTGTTGTCACTTCCTGCTCATAAATGAAGTGTATAATATACTGAGGAGGGCCGGCCAGGTGGCCGAGCGGTTAGCGCGCCTGACTGTGAAGCCAATGGCTGCGGATTCAAATCCCGCTCTGGGCATGGATGTTTCTCTCTGTTGTGTGTGAATGTGACCCACCCTATGAACGGATTTGTGGCGTGGGCAATGTTACTCGCCTCCGTGACTTTGGTTCGCAGGTGCCCACTGGGGAACGCGAAATGAGTAACACCTCTGGCATCTTCTTAGGCTTCTAAGTTCAGTGCCTGCCATTCGAAAAAAAGATATATATATATATATATATATAGTGAGGTGGAAAAACTGATAAGTCAAATAAGATAATCCTGATTCACTTCTAATTTCAATTCTCATTTAGCTTGGAATTTCCCTATATTATTTGGAAAAAAATCTACCAATATTGCAACTTACATTCAAACTCACCGTCTCCTGATAGGTGAAAAATGTGATTGGCAATTTATTTATGTATTTTTTTAATGGTTGTTCATTTTTAGGAAAATCTAGGTGAAGATGAAGATTCGGATGATAAACCACTGAAAGCATCTCCTGATGCTGACACAACTTTTCTTTTTACTCAACCTGCTGGAATAGTCTCAGGTAAAATAAATAACAAAACAAAAAAATTATGCAGGCTAAATTTTTTTTACAAACTAAACTAACAATGTTTAGAAATGTTCAGTTTCCATTTGCATACAATATTTTAATACTGTATTTTAGGGGTGCACAACCTGCGGCCCTTCGACTACTGAAGTGCGGCCCGCGAGAGCTTCTAAACACAATAAAAAAATTTTAAAAATGGAAATTTTTAATCGCACTTTTAAGTCATCACGTTTTTACACAATCAATTTTAACGGATTCTTTAGTAAATGTACGTTTAACGCGCTTTCTTTAAGCCGATTTTATAGTAAATATAAATTTTTTTTTTTAACAGTTTTTTCTGCTTTTCTACGTGATTTCGAAAATCCCGAATTTTTATTACGACGCGAATTTCAGATCGCAAATTTAAATAATCACTTTTCTTGCACTTAATTTGGGATGATTTCATCTTAAATCTAAGTGATTTTTTATCTTTTTTTGCAATTCTTTCTCTTTTTTTCAAAAATTTTTTTCGGCAGTTATTGCTATGCGTTCCCACGTATTATAAAAAATTCCAATTATTCTATTACGACATGCAAATTTTAAATCATGCATTTGACACGCTTTATTCATGCTGAGTTCAGCATAAATATATATTTTCCCACTTATTTCTATGCTTTTCCACATGATTTTGACTATCCCGTTATTTAACTATGATGTTATTACGACACGTGATTGTTAATCACGCAATTAAATAATCACTTTTTGATACGGTATTATGGTACAGTTTTATAGTAAATCCTAGTTATTTTTCCTTCGTTTTTATTTCCGCAACGAATATGATTTGGTCGAATGTAGTAATGAATTGTGATTTTGTCAAAAACCAAATATTCGGCAAAAAAAAAGAAGAAAAAATCGACTGAACGCAGTACAATTGGGGCCAAATAGCAAAATCTTATACTGCTACTAAACACTGAAACTAAAATTTTAATGCTCAGAATAATATTTCCTTGAAAAACGTATTCATAAATTAACTCTAAAAAGAACGTTTTTGCCAATCAAGGCGAATCAGGAACGTTTTTGAAAATGTCGAAAGCGAAACAGAGAACATAAAAATCAATCTTAATTTTTGAAAAAAAATTTTAAAGCTGAACACCTCAGTTTTTCAATTACCAGAAAAAGCCAAGAAAAATGAATTAAGTCATCAGAAATGCTATTAAAAATTACTGCGTTATAGTGAAAACGTCTAAAAAAAGTTTTTTTTTTATTTAAAGAAAATAAAAAGATAGAAAAAATGTTCTTAATTTTTTAAGTGAAAATCTTATGCCGAAAATCTCAATTTAAATTTTTCTCATTGCCATAATTTTAGAAGAAAAAAAATTGCTATAAAATAAATTTTATTAGTAACTTTATTTTTAAAAAAAATGCTGAGTCATAATAAAAATGCCTAAAAAAAGAAAAACAGAAAAAACAAATTTTTCTTAGTTCCTGAAACAAAACTTTAATACTGAAAATCACACTTTTCTATGTTACTGGTTATTTATATTACAGTACAGGGAAAGAGTGATAATAAATTAATAGTATGAGACGTTCTGTTAAAATGCTGGGTTATAATAAAAACTGCAAAAAATGGATCCTTCTCAATTCTCAAAGTATCGAAAAAATGACAAAATTGACTTGTCTGATTATAATTTTTAAAAAAAAAGTAATATCTATAAAAATTCAAAAATAAAAAAAACTTAGAAAAATACATTTCTAAAAAATATTCTGCCAAATATTTGACTGATCATTCAACCAACTGAATTTTTCACAGAAGGGCCAAATACTCGTTACATCCCTCCCTAATTTAAATGCAATGTTATTGCAACTTGAGAAATTCATAAAATGGCGGAAAACGTGAATTTTTAAACTGCTCACTGTTTGTAGTTTAGATTTCAATTTTTTGTTGCTTAAGTGATCTTTTTCGATAAAAAAAAGGAAAATGTTTACGATATAAAAAATCTAATAATTAATAAAATAAAATAACAAAGTACATTACAAAATAAGCATTGAATGTTATTTTGAACTATCACAGTTTTGCTTTTATTTTAGGCTTTTGTTTAAAACCTATAAATTTTCTTCAATTAAAATATTTAATTTGAATGTATTATACAGTAGGAAACCGATTATCCGGAACGATCGGGACCATCGCTATTCCGGATAACTGATTTTCCCGGTTTTCTGGGTCGCTACAAAAAGCCGTTTATTTATTCTTAAACCCAAATAAAAGAAAAAAAAATGGAAATAATCTTAAAACGAAGAAAAACCGATGAAATAATACACTAAAGATTATTTCTAAAATGATGGTAAGGTAAACATCTTTCAAAATAGAAAGAAAATCCTAAAATCTTAAGAGGAAAAAAAAAATTTTTTTTGAAAATGGCCGGAAAAATTTATCGAATTTCATTCCGGTTTTTTGGTTTTCCGGTTTTCTGATTTCCGGATAACGGGTTCTGTACTGTACTTAAATATGACTAAACTTTTTCCTATTTTCATTTTGTAGGCATTGCAATTTTTTTTTTATTTATTAGAATTTAATTCAAAAATGAATTTTCGTATTACATGATATGATAAAAAAAAAAACATTTCTTTTCTTCAATGCTTATTTATTTTGATAAATCTATTGTTCATGTAACAAAAATAGCAAGTTTTTTTTGTAAAAAAAAAAAAGTGTAAGTTTTTTTATTTTTGAATGAATTCTAATAATGGAACACTACTAAGTTATTGATATTACTAAGTTTATTGATTAAAAAAATGGAACGCTAATGTTTAAATAAACATTACTACATTTGTCATTAACATGTCTAAATACGTGTGCGGCCCTTCGTTAGCCAGCCAGCTGTGCAAGTGGCCCTTCACTCAAAAAGGTTGTGCACCCCTACTGTATTTATTAAAAATGAATTATAATTGTAAATTATTGATTAGAACCTTTTTACCTTTCATTCGTAATAATTAAAGTAGAATTATTTAATGTGAGGCTGTAATTTCTTAGTAGGTTTTTTTTTTACGCTTTCATTATTTTTGTCTTAAAATATAATTAAGGATTATTTTGTGTTGTGTTTTCATACTTTATTTATTAAAATGAAATATAACTGTAAATTATTGATTTGAGCCTTTTTTTTTCATTTATAATAAGCAAAATAGAATTATAATGCGAGGTGATAAATTGAAGGAAAAATTATTTTAGATCTAGTATATTTTAAAGCTTTGAGGGGGAAATAAAATCATTTTTATTTCGTAAATTTTTTTGATATTCTTATAGCAAGATTAGTTACAAATTTCATGAATTTCAATTTTCTGTAAAATTACTTACAAGGATTCCTTTGAGAAAAAAAAAAATATTTTTTTTTTGAATGGTAAAATGGTGCTAGAAAAGTCTGTAAAATTAGAGGTAATTAATTTTTCTTTCCTGGTACCTGCTGTCAAACTTTACTACCCTATAAGTTTTAAACTTTTTCTGACAAGCAGAATTTATTTTTGTTTTCTCGCCAAATAGAATTTATCTTCAAAAAGTTTTTTGACCTAGTCTAAAAATTTTCATCAATCAAAGTTCCAATATATTTCTTAAGTAATCAAAAAAGATTACATGTTTATGGTGTGTCAAATGTTTTTCAATTTATGTTTGAATCGAATAAAAATATAGACTTTTCGCTGCGAAAGTTTTTTTTAATTTTTATTATTTTGTTCAAGAACTTAGGTTGATATTTATTATGCTTAACATCTTAAATATATTGATATTAAATTTATTTTTATTTAAAAACTGTCTCATAATTTAGAATTGCCTGCTGGAAAAGATGTGCATTTCCTGGTAGGTTTTTCCAACAAGGGAAATAAGGATTTCATTGTCGATGCTATGGATGCTTCATTTCGTTATCCCATGGATTTCACATTTTATATTCAAAATGTGAGTTACGTGTTTGGTTTCATTATTTTAAAATATATGTAGTTAACAATTTTTTTTAATGTGTAGTTTAATTTTGTTTGTGTTTTTGGGAGTTAAATTTTGTATAAATGCAATCTTGAAGTATCACCTGTTCTACGTCGAAATTAATGGAACTTATATTTAGTTAAAACTAAATAACAATATTAAATTTAGGTGTATTGAAATGAATATGTTGCGTAAAGAACAGTAGTATTGACTATTTCATTATTCTGATAATTGTCTTATTAAATTTTGATAATATAAATGTTTCTTTTTTTTTCACTTTTACTATTTTTGTTGAAATACTCTTAACTAAGAATATGCCCAGAATTTTGGTTCACCACTCGTGACAAAATATTTGCACAACTATACTGATTCTACTCTCACCTGCTATTCCACTTAATTCTCATTAAATTATCAAAAATCTCCTTTTATATTAAATCAACTTTATTCGCTCTTAATTTCGCATTGCAACTATAGACCAGTGTTTTCATTACAGAAAAAAAATTAGAGAGAATTTCTCACCCTTTCTCAAAAACAGGGTGAGATCTCAAAAAGTTAAGTGAGATTTCTAAAAATTAAAAAAAACGCGAATAGACTTGGAAAAAAAATATTTCTTTAATTATAATACATTTTTAACATCTTCTAATTTTTAAAGCATTGAATATTTTTGCTGCATCATCCTATGGAAAACGCTCTATATCTACTTTTTCATCAGCTTTTCTCATTAGGTTGCTCAAATGTTTATCAGTCATTTGTATAAGATATTTTGTCTTAATTCGGTTTTGAGTGCTAAATGACCTTGCAACAGATGCTGAGCAATTCGGAATCACTTAGTAAATTTGTAGCATTGAAAAAAAATGTAACGTCTTACATGAAGAAATCTTACCTTCCGTGAACACGGGGTTGCAGAAAAATGTGTTCTGAAAGGTGTTCCGTCATTCGGGGGGGGGGGGCATTGTGTTCTGCTGTTTGCACCGGTTCTAAACAATACTGGTAAATAGGGAAGTTAGATAACAGGGATCCATGTTGAAAATAATGAAAGATCAAGGAAGAAAAGTGAAACGGATTTTATTCAAAATGGCAGGAGACGAATTTTTCCAAAATTCGCTCATTTTGAAATTGATTAATAGAGTGCGCGATCTTCTCGCGTTAATAATTTTTTCATGCGAGAAAAGAAAAAAATAAGCGAGATTCTCACGCTGTAGTGAAAACACTGTATAGAGGTTGATGTTATAGATCATTTCTCTTATTTCATGAAATCGTAATTCATACATCAAAGTTCAAATTCACAATATCGACAACACATAATTTTTCATGGTCAATTAGTTTTAGGAATCACACATTGTTGCAATTTATATTAATGTTATGCTTGATGTTTTGCATATATTTTTTAATCACAAATTTTAATCTATATTCACTTTATTTTCAAATCATTATTAAATGTGTCTGTTTTTGACAGTTAATTTGTTTCAATTTTGAAAATATTTTTTTAATATATATAAAATAAAAATTTATGTTCTTAATAAGATAGACCTATATTCTTAATAAGATAAGCTTTTTCATCTGTTAAGCTTGTTTTATTGCTTTTACCTGGGCTTCTTTCACATTAATATTATGTTAAAGTAATGCTGAAATTCGCCTTATAGTATAGATCAGTGGTTCTTAATAGGTGCTCCTCAAAACCCTAAAGTTCCGTTCCAGAATCACAGGGGTTCCAAGACTTGAGATTTTTTACTAGTAATAATTATGTTTATATCCAATCCATTGTTTAATTTAATATTTGGGTGTATGAAATGCTTTACGTAAATGTCAATAATACGAGAATATTATTTTTTTAAAAAAGGGAGGAACAATATATTAAATTATGTAAAGGATATGCATTTCTAAAAATTACTAGTCATTCTTTTTAATTAAAATTAAATTAATAAATTCAAGAACAAAGATTTCGCGTTCTCTGATAACAGTTCTGTTTATAAAAGCTCTTTTTTCTTTTCTTTTTTTAGAAATATAATTTTATCAGCTTACACCAAGAACAAATTCAAAATTTTATTTTACTCTCCACATTTAACAGCTTATATTGATTTTTTTTTTATATGTATAATCTTCGGGTTCCACCTGATAAAGTTCGAACATATAAAATTCCACTGCCGGAAAAAAATGAGATCAACTGGTATAGGCTGTTATAAATTGTTTCTATATCCTATAAATATGTATTAATCATATAAAAATAGTAATGACTTCAATAATAATAATGATTTGTTTTAATTTTCAGTTCTCTGCCATTCCATACAATAGAGTTGTCAAGCCTAAACAAGATATTTCTTTGTATTATGCTTTTTACACTAGTGAGACATACAGTTCCCGTCCTTTTGGTTTAGTAGTTAACCTCTACTACAGAGACGCTGTAAGTTTGTTTCACAATTATTTTAGAAAATTATTTCAATTTATTTTTTATGGGAGGGCAAATTAATCATTTACATTTATTTAATTTATAAGTTTTAATCCCGTAAGTGTCATAAACTGAATATCAGCAAGTAATTAAAATTAGAAGACAACAATTTTATTTAGAAAAACATCTAAATTTGCTCTCTTTTATTTTATTCATAAACTATTACTAGTTCTCGATTTCTTTTTGAGATGGATAAATTAATTTTATTATTGTACTATTTATATAATACTTGGATCTTTACTTTTTAAATAAAATATTGAACTATATTTGTTTTGGTTATAAAAAAGTTATTTTAAAACAAATCAATGTTTCAAGTTATATATTCATTGGATTATTATTTGGATTATTTTTTTTTCCACGAGTTTATTGGATTTAGGCATAAAATTTCTCGTGTAGTTTCTTCCTAATCAGGCTGTTGCATTTAACCATTTAAAACAGGGGTTTCCAACTTATATGAGGCCGGGGGCCACAATTAAACATACAAATCAAATGGCGGGCCGCAACTTTATCAAAATTTTTTGTAGGACTCTTTTATGTTTGAAGAAACATTAAATATTACTGTCAGAGTTTTACCAAGTTGTACAAAACAAAAGTATTGAATTGCAAATTGAAATAAGAAGTAGATTTTTAAAAATATTTAATTGTTATTAATAATAATTTTAAAGACATAAATGAATAATAAAAATTCGGGCTACAATAACTTTAATGTGCACCTATGTATTAAACAATTAATATGCAACAGATATCTAATTGTTGACATAAATGAATAATAAAAATTCGGGCTACAATAACTTTAATGTGCACCTATGTATTAAACAATTAATATGCAACAGATATCTAATTGTTAAGGTATTAAAACTTACATAGTAGCACACAAAATATTCAATGAGAAAATTAAGGTTTGTCTGCTACAACCACCAGAGAATTGATATTTACATTTTAAATTTAAAATTTACAAATGTGTGTGTAAATATTTTCGTCCAAAGTGAGTGGTTTCAAAAAGTTAAAAGTCTGCAAGAAAACTTTTGATACGCACATGCTAAATTATATTCACAAAATACAAAAAAAAAAAAAAAAAGAGAAAAAAAAANTTTTGTATTTGAATAAATATTTTCTTGGATGCAAAACCTGAAAAATAAATTTCTTTGCACCGTTGGTATGTTACATTTCACAGAACAAAGAAATTAGGTTTTTATTAACGAGAAAAGTATTTTAAACCCATATCGAATTTTTACGAAAATTGTTCGCAAAAAAATTACATATATTTTAGTTCGCGGAAACCCCTGATTTAAAAGCTGCTGATTGTGTATCCGTCTAATACAAATGTGCTATATACAGTGGAGCATCGTTTATACGACGCCGAAGGGACCACCGAAAAACGTCGTATAAACGATAACGTCGTATAATCGATTTTTACTTCTAAAACTGAAACTAACTCTGTTTTCAGTTAATTTTAATGTTTAACGTGTTGATTTACATAAATTTCTAAATTAGACAAAGCAAAACAAACAAATAACCAAAGGAGAAAAATTGCATTGAGCCATTTGAATGTATGTTACCTTTAATTATATTTTCTTGCTATTATTCTCTACAATGCTTTGAATAGCGAGTTGAAGTTACTGCTTTCTATGATGCAATTTTAAATTTCTAATCACGGCCAAATCTGATGGCTGAAGCGCACTTGTGCAATATGCAGGAAAAAAGAGAGCTCTTACATTTTCCAAAATAATTAGTATCGATGGGTGCCCTGGACAATGGTCGATGAATAGCAAAATTTTTCGTTTTTTCCTCTTTATAACATTGTCTAGTTTTTTCAGTCATCTAGTAAAAATTACGGTCGTCATCCAAGCATTCTTGTTGGCACCCTTTTCTGTATCATTCATGTTGGCAAATTCCGCCCTTTTTTAAAATACACAAGAAAAAATAAAAAATTAAATAAACGTGAACAAAATCTAAAAACCGACGTATAACCGATTCTGTGCGTCGTATAAACGATATATTTTTACATTAAAATGAATAGGAATGATTTGGGACCACACTAAAACGTCGTATAAGTGATCGTCGTATAAACGATGCTCCACTGTATATATATAATGTTTCATTTTGTTTACAAATATTGAAAATATTTATATGCTCTATGTTTGTATATATAGTATGTGCATATGCTTATTTATCCTGTGTGTTGTATGTATAGAGAGCTATGTGAAGAAAGCCCCCAAAAATGAGGAAAATCAAAAATTCAAACTGCATTCTTTTGACCACAGATGACCACCTTTTAAATTTTTTTTTTTACCACCCTTATTTTGGACGTAATCCTGACAATTAAATTCAGGGGCTAATTTTACATTTTTACGCCACATATTTTTACTCCATAAAAATAAGCATTCAATTTTTATATTGTATTCGTTTGACCACAAATGACCACCTTTTAGTTTTTTTGCCACCCTTATTTAAGCTGTAATCCTAAAAATAAAGCTTGGGAGAAATATCAAATTAGCCCCCGAAAATAAGAAAAATAAAAGATTTTAACAGCATTCGTTTGACCACCTTCCTTTGGACATAATCCTAAAAATTTCGTGGGCTAACTTCGCATTTTTATGCCCAAAAATACTCCAGTTTTTATATTGTATTTGTTTGATCACAAATGACCACCTTTCAGTTTTTTTTACCACCCTTATTTAAGCCGTAGTCCTTAAAATAAAACTTGGGAGAAGCATGAGGTTATCCCCCGAAAATAAGGAAATTTTAAAATTTCAATTGCATTTGTTTGGTCATAAATGCCCTCCTTTTAATTTTTTTTACCACCCTTATTTTAGCCGTAATCCTAAAAAATAAAGTTTGGGGGAAACGTGTGAAGTTAGCCCCGAAAATAAGAAAATACAAAAATTTAACATCATTCGTTTGGCCACAAATGGCCCCCTTTATTTTATTTGACCACCCTTAATTCTGCCGTAATCCTAAAAAAGAGACTTGGGAGAAGCATGAAGTTAGTTTCCAAAAATCAGGAAAATTTAAAATTGCATTCGTATGACCACCTTTTAGTTTTTATTATCATCCATGTTTTAGCCACTTTAGTCGCTCCTCCTGAGCCTCATTTTTAGGATTACGGCGGAAATAAGGGTGGTAAAGCCGAGAACTAAAAGCTGGTCAAACGAGTGCGGTTTAAATTTTTCTGATTTCCGGGAGCTAACTTCATGCTTGTTCCAAGTCTTGTTTTTAGGCTAAAATAAAGGTGATCAAACAAATACAATATAAAATTTGGATTTTTATTTATTTGGCATAAAAATGCTAGGTTAGCCCCTGAATTTAATTTTTAGAATGATGGTCAAAAAAAAAAAATTAAAAGGTGATCAAACGAATGCAGTTTGAGTTTTTAGTTTTTCACATTTTCGGGGGATATCTTCGCATAGCTTGTATGTATATTCACACGTATATCTAGTTGTATCTTTTTTTTTCCAATAAAAAATTATAGTCATTTTTTAGGATTTATTTAATTTGGAAATAATTGTTTGGTACTAGCAGGCTAATTGTTCAGCTTTCGATGTAGAATAAAAAATAAGTCACCATTCATTTGCAAAATGATCTATTAAAAGTTAAAATTATGTGTCAAAAATTATTTTGTATATTTTTTTTTGAATGTTATAAGCTTAATGTTATTAAATATTTATGAGGTGCACAGTTAGGTAATTGATGCTAAATTCACAAAAATTTTAATTTGAAAAAAAACTTTTTTTAAATTTATTCTTTTAAAATATTTTTATGCAAAATTAATATTGCAGCATTATAAAATTTATTGGAACGTATATAGATATTTCTTACAGAAATTTTTCCTTCACTGATTCTTAACGAAAATAATAAGTTCATTATGACATAATTTATGCAAATTGGGGATATTCAAAAATGTTTAATGTTTCTTTGCCCCTTTTTTAATAAAATGAATTCTGCTATCAAGAAGTATTCTAAGTTCACAGAGACATTTGGGGATTGTGTACACAATTCTTATTTATTTTTTTATTGTTATTATTTGGCTTTGATCAGGTGACAAATGATATTCGGAATTGAAATCTATTCTCTCCGAAGAATTAAAAGTTTATTCAGATTTCGCTAAAATAAGTTAGATAATCATGTTAAAAAAGTACAACTATGTATGAGGGCCTAATCTCTCTTAAAACAAATATAGATAATGTTATAGATAATGTTATAAATAATTCAGAGTGTTTCATTTCAAGTTCAAATTTAAACGGCTTCATAATGTTGATTGGGAAATAGCTAATAAAAGTTTTTCTAGAAAAATAATACCATCTGTTAAAGTTGTGTATGAGTAAGTGGGCGCCGAAAAGTTGGTTTTAAAAACATATAAAATTCAACTGTTACAAGATATTTTATTCTTTGTAAAAACATTTTTTGTCATGAAGTATGTGTTTCATACAAATATATAAATATTTGTTTCTTTTTCTTTTATGAAGGATGGTCACCAATATCTAGATGCTGTGTTTAATGAAACTATTACAATTGTAGAAATCGAAGATTCACTTGATGGTGAAACGTAAGTTCTTGATATCAAACAATATTTTATTATGAATCTATCCTATCATTTTTTATTGAATGTAACATTTTTCTCGACAGCTTTTTCCTCTATGTCCTACTTGCTGCCTGCATTGTTCTTATAATTGTTGTAACCCAACAGTTTTTGGTCAACTTTACTGTAAGTTCTTCTATTTAATTTATTTTCTTTTTGTATGAAACATTTAAATTGATAACAGTTATGAATATGAAGTAACAAAATATGTGTTATGCATAAATATGATATTTTGTTTTATTTCACAAATATTTACCCTTATTTATCTTAATAAAACTTTGCTCCTTGGCATTAAATGAAAAATATGTTAATTTGATAAATTACTCATCACATTCTTACCTTTTTATAATAAATTTGGGACCCAATCATTGTAAATTTAAAAGTATTATATGTTAATATTTACTATGATTACATTTTTTCCAGAAAAAGAAAATTTCATCTGGTCAAAAAATTGAAACTGGTACTCAGAATCATCAAAATGATGTAGACTATGATTGGCTACCCAAAGAAACATTGAATGATTTCAGTATGTATAAGATATATATTGGGATATATTTTTCATTTTTTTGTTAACATTCATTTTCTAAAAATCTGGTACAACAGAGCATCATGGATTGTACTTTACTTAAACACAACTCTACACATTTTTTTAAAATTAAATCTCCACAGAGTTCTGTTTTGGTAAAAACATGCTTGTTGTGTTACAACACTTTCTTTTAATGATGTGAAGTAAAAGGCAAGAACTAAAAAACTGGATTTTTACACATGACAAGTATCAAAAAACCTAGGGGGATATTTAAAATGAATTTATGAAAGATTATCTATGCAGTTTAGCAAAATTTTGAAATTCATATTGAACGAAATGTGATTAAAGTCGTTTTTATTACAGATATAAATTAAATTTTTAAAAACTAATTATCTTTGACAATTAAGCAAAAAATTAACTTAAAGTAGATACAAATTCATAAATGAAAGGTTTTAAAAGTAATAAAAATGTGTTAAATAAGCCCATGAGGTAACTTGTGAAAAGGATACGGTCAGGTAGGGTGAAGTGAATATAAAATCGAGCATTTTTAAAGTAGGCTCTAAAACCAAGCTATTAAGTTGTTTTACCGAAATTTTTATGCATTTTATTTACATTGGATTCATATAGATTAACTATCTATCACAGTTTATCTTTTTTGTTTGATTGTTTTCTTACTGTAGTACAGTGTTTCCCAAAGTGTGGTACGCATCAGGGCTAAAGAGAATAGAAGGGCTAGTTCACTCCGCTCTTAGAGCTGAAGCTACGATTTCCCTCCTCATGACGTCACTGTGTTCACAGATCTCGGAGATCGCAAGCAAAGATATTATGATAGCTTTGCATCTTTCTCTTTGTTAAAATAAGTTAGACTTTTTCTGGTTATTAGCTTTCAAACTTTACGTAATGAACACATTATTTCCGTTCATAAACATAGATCAAAAAAACTTTCTTGGCCATTATAGTTAAAAGAATACCATTTTAATCTTATAAAAATGTTTTACTAGTTGGCGAAAATGACATTATAAATACTTTATTTTAAAAAGTTCAGTTTTAACTTTAATTATTAAGAAAAATGAAAGCATATATCGACACTTTTTTTTATCTACATATTCTTTTATAACAATAAGTTGAGTTAAATTACAGGGATGAGATTTTTCCGCTTTTTAGCGGATTTCCGCTTTTTAGCGGATTTCCGCTTTTTTCACTTTTATCGATTTTGAATTTCAGCTTTTTTATCAAAAATTCAGATTTTCTAAAAATTTCACTTTTTTTTATAGATATTCTGCTCTTTTAGAAAATTCACCGATTTTCAAAGAGAAACAGGAAATTCAAACTACATAGCTACCAATCCTTTCTCATTTTTACTTATTTTAGCTATTTTCTCCCCTTTTACACGCAGCAGATAAGATTTTCCGAATTTTTTACCCGCCCTCCAGATAAATCCGATTTTCGTAGTTCAAACGACGCTGCTTCTGACAAACCTTTTAGAGGTCCCAAGCCTGGAATCTGCTAATATCTCGATTCTTATTCATACGATTTTAATATCAAACATAGCTTTTCATATTTGCGTGTTGCGATTCTTATTCACACGATTTGAATATTGTACGTTGCGATTCTTATTTACGAGATTTGAATATTGTACGTTGCGATTCTTATTTACGCCTTTTTAAAAACCTATGTAGCGATTGGTATTCACTCAAGTTTAAAATTCAATGTCTTGATTTGCTCATGCGGTTTATAATATCAACCATTGATTTTCGTATTTATACGTGATTTTAAAATAAGGCA